AATCGAAATGCGCCAGACAAATAAAATTAGGATATCAGCTTATTAAACGTTGTCGGTTTTACGTACAGACTGAAATTCTGTGTATAATTCACGCTTATTTTTATTTTCACTGACAGCTATCATTTGTTACGGAAGCGTATTCCGGCCAAGTTAGGTTTTATTTTATCTCGAAATTTCGAGATAGCAACTCGAAATTGCGAGTTAGTAATCCGAGATTTTGAGTAAGTAAGTCGAACCCGAAATTTCGAGATAACAACTCGAAATTTCGACTTACTTACTCGAAATTTCGGGTTAATATCTCAAAATTTCGGATTACTAACTCAACATTTCGAGTTAAAATAAAACACAACGTTGCCGGGATACGCTTCCGTAATTTTTAACCTAGTCATATCTATATATATATATCTTTGTAGTCGGGGTCTTTGAGGCGTCATACCCCACCATTATTTAAACTATCAATTTTATTTTAGCGTTAATTAAGAGAATCGTTCCTAGGTTTGATATTCGAACTATGTATCTTGTTCCGAACAATTCAGTTTTTTGAATTATGGTTAATTTTGACGCCATATTATCTCTTCACGCCTAGGCCTGTATTAACTTACTGAAAGTACCTAAATTGGAGTATATTATGAGAGACCTACATGATTCCTCAGTTTATTATTATTATTATTCATATATGGTTTTGCAGCTGAAATTTTGCGGCCACTCAACGGTTTAGCTCATTGCTCGTCAGGACGTTAACTTTTGTTCCCGAGAGACTTGTCAAGTATTTCCTTAAAGTCCTCGTGGAGAATAAATCTGCTGTTCCAGACTGTCAATATAAGTTAACGTCCATGAGTCAACTGATGTGACCCCATTCCAGAATAGCGGTCGAGGTCACTCTAGGGCTTGTTTCTGTGTCCTCTGCATGAGTGGACGTTTAGAAGCTTAAATACAGATCTGCTCTTGTTCCATATTTAGGACATGTTTTGTCAAACAACGTATACTTCTTTCAGTCTTTGGTTTCTAGGTGCCCGTGTATCTTAGCTTTTTCAATAATCAGCAAGTCACCAAGCACGTGTAAGCATAACATGACGGTCGGATTTTAAAAATGTGTAGTGCACAGAAATGGATGGATTGAAATCACGATACTGAAAAAGAAAAACGTATTATTCTATTTTAATGTAAGGCTTCATTTAGTATTAAAGTTAATAGCATCTTAATGTGATTCCGTTGGATTGGAAGTTTCCGGCAAGTTCCGTAGAAACACGAGAAATAACGGAATTTCCCGATCTTGCAGAAGACTCCGAGAATGTGTAATTGATTGCCACATACCATAAAAGGAACAAAATATGTACAATGAAATAAGACATGTTATATATTATAGTTTATCTGAACGCTACCCTCGGTGGTGAGATTTCTCCATAGTCTTATGTGACCTTCACAGATGAAGATCTAGGGTGCCTCTAATACTTATCGTCGTTAATCGTAGTACAATAAGGATCTGTCTCGTTCAACTCGTCACGTTGATAGCCTAGATGCTGATAAATGACACTGAGTACAAACTAAATTTGGATGACAGTGAGTTTGCGTTGTTAGGGCCGTCAAGGGTCGTCAAGACTACCGCTTTATCCGCTGGGGACCCAGTACTTACGTGTAGTACATCTATATAGCAACGGTTAAAGTGCACGCGCATAAAATTCTGCTATAACTGTTGGCATCAATCTGGTTAAAATGCAGATCCCAACTCCCGCTCCAACAGTCCCGCGTAGATTTACGGAGCGAGAATAAGGACATGCATTTTAATCGGTAAGATTTGTATTATCACCGACAAAGATACAACAATTTGCAAGCGACTTTCAAAATCGCGAGCTAAAGCGTTTCGTTTATGCTCCGCATGCTGTTAATTCAGCATTTTGGTTACTAATTTGAATAATTCACGTTGAAAATATTTCAATAAGACCTGTATGGATTGATTATAATGTAATGGTCGCTTATTGTGTTAAAAGCGATTTTTCTTTCAATGAAATAAAATTACTTTAGTCAGTTATCGCGTGTCACTTATCCATGCTCGGTGATCGTGTTTTATTTTGTTTAGAAATCAAACATTGTAAACAACCAGCCGCTACTTATATCCCTTGTTGTTATTGACTTTGTTTATTCTGGGTCATGTCTCTTTTGTGTCCTGATCAGCGTACCTGGAGGCTTTGACCGAATTTACCAGGGCCACACAGCTGTTTCATTACTAGCTAGCTTCACGCCAAATCCAAATAAAAAAGATATTTTCCCGCAAATATAGACAATATTTCTCTAATTAATTTCGGATTTAGAGATTTTTGGGATTGGAAAGAAAACTAACTACCATTAATTTTGCCATAAGCTACATTTATATTCATGGTGATTGAATTTTAAGACCTATATTTTCCAGAAAAGCGTTGTCAGATTCGCCGCAACCATTTGTGTTAAAAGTTATTGAAATAGTACTTGTGCTATAGACCAAATCTAAATTCAAGTTATTTATCACTATCAACTGTTGTTGGGTTTATTTATGTTTGACACGCCTTCTGTACAATCTGACCGGAATGCTAGGTAGGACGAGTTGCCAGTTACCGGGAATATGGAAAACATGAATATTCATGAAGGTTATCGTTGTGTAATATTTGGAACAAAGACAAATATAATATGTAGATATTTATGTTATAACGTTGTTGGGATACATTAATAAACAGTTATACTGTAGTTATATGTACAGCCCAGAGGATTCTAAGTGATTTTCCTTCGGAAGGCAATAATTCTGAAATTTCCTATAATGCATTAGGCATATACGTTCCTTCCAACACCACAACTCCCTGTCTGTCTAAATATGCACAGCGCTGTATCATCGTTTAGGAGATTTTAAAATGGCTGATTCGGTGTGTGTCACGTGATGAAATTGATACTTCTATATCCTCACCCATCACTATTGTGTACGATGCTGTGTAACACGATTTTTGTATCTACAAGCCTTTTGCTGTGTCGGCGTATATATCTACAAGTGTGACCTCGACATGGACCGCGGTTATAACATCAATTAATTGTCATGTAGACTCTGTGTAAATACTCGCGTGAGAGTTATGTAGGCTATCCAAACTCGGACGCAATAGTGTCACATCAAACGATCTCTCGTCCTTGAGCTGCGAACAATATTCTTGAATAAACTGTTTGTATACTCGACTGTACTGCCTAAACCTCCGGCCTTTTGCTACTCGCGTATACTGCCTATCCAAAACCTTTGGTTCATATACTCAAATGCACTGCCCATCAAAAGTCTCCGGTTCATATAAGTTGATAAAGGGAAGGATGTGGATTGGTACTCCTAGAGTGTTGATAATGGGAAGGATGTGGATTGGTACTCGTAGAGCGTTTGTAAAGGGAAGGATGTTGATTGGTACTCGTAGAGCGTTTGTAAAGGGAAGGATGTTGATTGGTACTCGTAGAGCGTTTGTAAAGGGAAGGATGTTGATTGGTACTCGTAGAACGTTGATAAAGGGAAGGTTGTGGATTGGTACTCCTGGAGTGTTGATAAAGGGAAAGATGTGGATTGGTACTCCTAGAGTGTTGATAATGGGAAGGATGTGGATTGGTACTCGTAGAACGTTGATAAAGGGAAGAATGTGGATTGGTACTCCTGGAGTGTTGATAAAGGGAAGGATGTGGATTGGTACTCCTGGAGTGTTGATAAAGGAAAGGATGTAGATTGGTACTCCTGGAGTGATGATAAAGGGAAGGATGTAGATTGGTACTCGTAGAGTGTTGATAAAGGGAAGGATGTGGATTGGTACTCCTGGAGTGTTGATAAAGGGAAGGATGTGGATTGGTACCCGTAGAGTGTTGATAAAGGGAAGGATGTGGACTGCTACTCGTAGAGTGTTGATAAAGGGAAGGATGTGGATTGGTACTCCTGGAGTGTTGATAAAGGGAAGGATGTAGATTGGTACTCCTGGAGTGTTGATAAAGGGAAGGATGTGGATTGGTACTCCTGGAGTGTTGATAAAGGGAAGGATGTGGATTGGTACTCGTAGAGCGTTTGTAAAGGGAAGGATGTAGATTGGTACTCGTAGAGCGTTTGTAAAGGGAAGGATGTTGATTGGTACTCGTAGAGCGTTTGTAAAGGGAAGGATGTTGAAAGAACGTTGATAAAGGGAAGGTTGTGGATTGGTACTCCTGGAGTGTTGATAAAGGGAAAGATGTGGATTGGTACTCCTAGAGTGTTGATAATGGGAAGGATGTGGATTGGTACTCGTAGAACGTTGATAAAGGGAAGAATGTGGATTGGTACTCCTGGGGTGTTGATAAAGGGAAGGATGTGGATTGGTACTCCTGGAGTGTTGATAAAGGAAAGGATGTAGATTGGTACTCCTGGAGTGATGATAAAGGGAAGGATGTAGATTGGTACTCCTGGAGTGATGATAAAGGGAAGGATGTAGATTGGTACTCGTAGAGTGTTGATAAAGGGAAGGATGTGGATTGGTACTCCTGGAGTGTTGATAAAGGGAAGGATGTGGATTGATACCCGTAGAGTGTTGATAAAGGGAAGGATGTGGACTGCTACTCGTAGAGTGTTGATAAAGGGAAGGATGTGGATTGGTACTCCTGGAGTGTTGATAAAGGGAAGGATGTAGATTGGTACTCGTAGAGTGTTAATAAAGGGAAGGATGTGGATTGGTTCTCCTAGAGTGTTGATAAAGGGAAGGATTTGGATTGGTACCCGTAGAGTGTTGATAAAGGGAAGGATGTGGATTGGAACGGCTGTCGATAAATGTTTCAGGATTAATCTTTCCGTTTTCGTATAAAGCTTGATTTATGTCGTAATTTGTATTACCACTTACCTATCAGTCTCAATAACGTCTAGTTATAGCAACGTCATCTTTATTCATGAAACATGACACGCCTTTTCTGATCCACGTCATTTGAATCTGTGATGACTTTTTATCTGAAGTTTTTTGTTTACTTCTATACAAGTCATTTTTTTTCTTTTTCAGATCGTGATGCCGTGAAAATAAAAACACAACACAACCTTGGACGCCACTTCATCCGCATTGGCGGATACGTAACACCATGTGGGTCTAAGTCCACACAGCAGTGTCAGATTCCGTGAAAAAAGAGGGCGCCGTCTATCGGAACCAGAAATAGTGTTTTAAGTAAAAATGTCTGAGGAAAAGAACGGAAAGTCTCGTCAACGGCGAGAATCATGTGATTCGGAAGTATCTAATGAAAGTGTATCTGACTTGATTCCAACGCCGCCAGATGGCGGCTGGGGCTGGGTGATCGTACTAGCATCATTCATGTGTAACGTCATCGTGGATGGCATAGGATATGCGTATGGAGTTCTTCTGCCGGAATTTGCCGAGTTTTTCAACGCACCCAGGAGTAAAGTTTCTCTTGTAGGCTCTCTGCTATGTGGGGTCTACTTACTTGCAGGTAAGAGATACTCCAACAAAAAAAAAATCATCATGATAAAGGGAGATAATCTGATACTCTGTTGTAAAGATGGCTGAAAGATATACTGTTGCTAAATTAACATAGCTCGGTTAAAGTGATCCTGTTTCATATATTCTATAAATGGCTCGGCGCGAGCAGGGTTCATGGAAAGTTAATATATTTATAGGAGTGATTCCGTAGGTAATGCACTCTGAGGGGAAAGTCCAACTTATACTCTATATATGGAAACTTATTGACTTATCGGGATCATTTTAGAAATTTGTGTATTATGATGTGATCGTTACCAATCGCAAAAATATGTAAATGAGAAAAGCATGCCAACATTATTTAAGAACAAAATAAATGTAATATACAAATAACACTCGTAAATTGTTGAAGCCAAACCATTTCTTTTTCCTTGTTGCAAATTCTACGATCTGCGATTTTTCATAGTTGTATTATCAGTGTTTTAGTAACAGTTTTGACGTTTATTCAGGACCAATCGTCAGCGGTCTTACAAACAAGTTCGGCTGCCGTAAGGTCACCATTGTGGGCAGTGTTATCGCCGCCATTGGCTTCATCATCGGTTCGTTCAGTCCAAGTCTTAACGTTCTCATCGTCAGCTACGGCTTTCTTGGAGGTAAGTCATCATTCACTCATTTAGCTTTACAAACTCGTTCAATTACACAAAATATAGATAAGTAAATAGGATTATTCCATAATAATTTCGAATAAGATTCATGAGCCGGACTGCATCACACAGCTGTTTCGTCCTTTTACAATTAGTCATTGACAAAATTTTAATCGTCAGCTAAAGGAAATCAAAATAAGCTGACACGAGTTTAAAAATTCTTTATTTGAGTAAAGTAATGTACCGACTGTTTTATTTAACTATGTGACCCGGAAGTGTTAATTGCTACAGTCAAAACGTTTATTGGTTTGTTGTTTTAGGATTCGGATTTGGTCTGATTTACCTGCCATCTATCGTCAGTGTTGGATACTACTTTGAGAAGAAACGCGCTCTAGCGACAGGAATAGCAGTGTGCGGTTCTGGAGTAGGGACATTCATATTTTCACCAGGAAATAATGCCCTTCTCGCGGCCTATGATTGGCGAGGTCTTCTGTTGATTCATTCAGCCATTATTCTACAATGTGCCGTATGCGGGATGCTTATGAGGCCTCTCGAGCCAGAGAAAAAGAAAAAAGTACGGGTTAGTGACAAAAATATAGACAGAATCAAAGAAGAAGCAAAATCGGGAAGGAAGCGTTGTAATGAGTCAGAATCTAGCGTCGCGGTCGTTGAAACGTTTGCAAAACTCAGGGAAGCCAAATTAAAACGAGAAAAGCAATTGGAGGATGACTCGGACATTGCTTCCATGCCCAGTGCGTACTTTGTGAAGGGTCCACCAGATGCCATGAGCACTAGTTACAACTCCCGTCAAATGAAACTGTCGTTTTCTGACCGCGGGGACGCCATGAGTCAAACCAGTACTCCAGCTGGTCCCCCGAAAATTATGATTTCTGAAAATGGCTCCAACGTAGCGATGGACAATGAGGTAGAATCGCCTACATCAAATATGTCTTTAAGCATTCCTGACCGGAAGAATAGTAATAGTACCAATGCGCAACAGGAAGAATGTGATCAAAAAGACAAAAATAATTCAGTTTTGCCCAACGGCGTTTTTGCGCACGAGGTTCAGCCTCTTATTGAGAATGGGTACACGAAAGTAGCCGTGGCAAAACCGAAACCATCGCCATCGGGGGGCGAGGGTGGGTCTAAACTGTGTGTCGGGTCGTCACGTGACGTCACCCTCCACAAGGAAGATTATAAGAGACCATTATACAGAAAAGACATTTTCTACAGCGGAAGTGTGCTAAATATCCCACAATACCGTTCACAGCCGGACATGCGTAGTTACATCGCTAGTATTACAACTATTCCAGGTGACATTGACCAAAAAGCCACGTGCTGGGATAAATGTACGTGTCTTCCGAAGTCTGTCGTGGACACATTGTCCGAAATGCTGGATATTTCCCTCTTGACCAACGTCCCATTTCTCTTGATATGCGTTGGAAATCTCTTTGCGATGACCGGTTTTTATGTCCCTTTCACATACATCGTGGACAGAGCGGTGATGCTTGGCATCGACAGTACAAGAGCCGCTTTTCTCCTTTCCATTATTGGTAAGTCTAGACGTATCTGTGACATTGATCTCTATATTTGACATAATTATACGCCTATCACATTTATATACCTATCAATGATGACAAGGCTTCCTACATCCTCTTTGCCGAATCTCTAATACATTAAACTGACCTTGACCTGCGTTTAACCACAGCGGTCAAATTGAAATATGATCTTAACATTGCTTCATAGCATGACCTTGAAATATATCGGGATTAATTTTAGTTATGATAAGTAATATCGAGAATTTCGATGGAATTTCTGTTTTTTTTTAATTCCTTCTAGACACTTTTCTTTCGCTTTATCAGTATACCGTTAGTAAACTAGAGGACCCGGTTCGATTCCTAGAGTAGGCATTTAAAAGTTAGAACTTCTGTTAGAATGGCGCCGATGTAGAGACATTTAGATGTATAGAGTGGGAGTAGATCTAATATATGCGTCTCACCAGCTCCTTTAGAAAGAATTTCTCTTCAGGTCTATCGGAATGTTGGTTAATTCAGAGGTCTTGGGTGCCATCGTCAATGAAGGAATACCATTAGAAGCGAGATCTGTTCAACTTGTCACAAATGATAAAATATATGAGAAATTTTGTGTTTTAAACACAGTGGTCAGATTACCGTTTATTTTTGACCAGTGTGGAGTACCTTTTGAGGATACGATATAGTAGTGTAAACATTTCTATTTATAGAACCTTAATGACGGAATAATGTGATCAACAAATAACGAGTATATAGGCGAAATTTACCAAATAGGACTGAAGGTATTTTGTTTAATTTGGTGGGTTGATCAAAATTATGTTTTACTGTGAAATGAAGGACGCAGTTTGGTAACCACCCTCTGTAACGAAGACATATCAGTGAAATTTTAACCATTGTTAGCTTCTGTAGCTGAGAGGAATGTTATTGTGGTTTCTGTTTGTTAAACCGGAAGTCTTCGGGCATCTAGTGGCGTAAAATTTGAGTATACCTATATTGTACGACTTCACTCTGTACGGGCTATAAAGAAATGTTCTTGTCACTTTCGGAAGCACCTGAGGTAGCTTAAAGACGAAGAAAGCTATCCCTGGTGTTTCCTGAAATCTGTCGTCTCTTGGTTCAGAAACAGTGACCTTTGTTAACATAAGACATACATGTACTCCAAACACGTGAATATCGATTTTATATTAAATGTAAACTGCTTTGTTGCAGGTATCACCAACACCATTGGGCGTGTCTTATCCGGATTCCTTGCCGACTTGAAATTTGTCGACAGTCTAGTTATCAATAATATCGCCCTAGTTATCAGTGCCGTTTCGTTGTTCCTGCAACCTCTCTGTACGACGTATGAAACTCTGATCATCTTCGCTGCTGTGTATGGACTGTGTGTGGGTAAGTACGGGAAGTGGGTAAATGATGAACGGATCTCAGACCTGCCAAAATTATCATGTGGGAGATAAGTGCGTCAACTACATGTTTTTTTTTTAAAAATAAAATAATTGCATATATAGATAAAAATCCGAAAATTTGGTCCGGATCCGTTCCTATTTTGCGAAAATGTAGCTACTTCCTGTTTAACCATTATCACTTTTTTTTGGTGGGGAGAGCTCAACATGCTTGTAATTTTAGCCAGGTTTTCGTTGAGTGGAATATTTTTTGGTCTGAATTAAATATAGATGGCAATAACTATTTAATTATCCGTGTAACGACCTCAACTTAAATTCAATTTAATCAATCATAAAGTTGTATCGTCCTTCTTAAGATTCGCCATTAATAAGTTTTCTTTTGATGTCTTTTACAACAGCGGCCTACATCTCATTAACATCAATCATTATCTGTGACCTGCTTGGATTAGAAAAACTGACCAATGCCTTCGGACTATTGACCATGGCGAGGGGCATTGCCGGAATTTATGGACCCCCTGTTGCTGGTGCGTCAAACTGCAATAGTATATCTCTGTATTTTATATAATAACCAATAACTATCTTCAGTCATAAATTTTCAATTCTTTGTGTATTTGCTAGAAACTAGTATATAATTTGTATCAACATGACGCCGTGTAGAAAGACCTGTATTAACGAATAGACCTGGACACCAATAACGTTTTAATTTTTGACGGTTCTTTCTCCAACTTTACGTTGGTAAAATGATCTTTCGTTTTCAGTTCCTTTGTTTAGTATCCCCGTTATGGAAGTCTAAGTTAAATCATCATGTTTTCTGTTATACAGGTCTAGTGTTTCAGGAATATGGATCTTACGACGCATCGTTTTACATGGGCGGGTTCATGTTTACCATCGGTTCATTCTTCCACCTGGCTTTGCACTTACCCTGTCTCAAGCGGATGTCAAAACAACGGGAAACGGAAGCTATCATTGCTGAGAGTACGCATGTGTAGACAACGAGGTTTTGGTTCATGGAATGTCAGAATGTGACCAATTGCAGATTAATAGAGTTGTCTGTGTATTGAAATTTTCAGCTATGAAGCGGCCATGTGTCGGAACTTTCTCAATTGAGAGCTGAGGGCAAGCCGATTTAATTTGGTACTATTTGAAATGTGATTTTCATTTTCATTTTTTGTGACAAATATTGTTAGCCTCTGGCGTATGTCACGTGACATAAAAAAGGAGTGACCCGAAATATTGCCACATGAAACATTGTCATTGCCGCAATACTGCCATGTGGCCTAATAAATCACGTGACTTAATAATACTGTAAAAGTATGTTTTTCTTTGTTTGAGGAAGAGGATGTATATGATTGTATAAATGAAATGATAGCATTGTGATGTGATGTGCTGCATGAAAGATATTTTTATTTCAGCGTAAAATTTATTCATACTGAGTGGAAACAGTTTTATATTAAATGTCCATGTATTGTCAATAAATAATGTCAATCAGTTATTATGAAATAAAGAGCCCATGTGTTGACACTTGAAAAAACCCACTGGTAAACGATTTTAGTGAAACTGAGTACATTGTGTGATCACTAACATTGTTAAGGGGTTATGTATGATGACGTCATTCCACAGGGTTTTCCACGTGTACAGATCACAGGGCGTTGTTATCTTGTATAATCTATCGACTTCTACCAGAAGGGATGGTCTACTACATACTGTTAGGAGTGCGATGTATGCAAATAAAAAATCAAAGTTTGATTGTGGGGTTACATGTTACACCGGAAGTGCAGCTGTGATGCTGTGTACTTCCCTGATGTATTTCCGGTAATCGGGAATGGGTTAAATTGACAGCAATACGATTTTCGTTTTGTAATTCAATTTCATATTAGTTACTTACATGTGATATTGTTTCTTTGAGCAAAAGTTTTTTTTTAAATTTCAACCTATACAACGAACATACACCTTCATATCACTGTTTTATTCTGCTCACAAATATATACCACAGGGTTTGGTACATAATGTCTCCAACCTGTGCCGTTTCATTGAAATCCTGATACTTTTTGTCATAACAAGTTTTTATACCTTTGTCCATTAAGTAGTATTCAATGCGCGTGCTGTGCACGTGTAACGTATTGTATAATTCTTCGTATTTATAATGTTATTATTGTACACTAGGTTGCCTGTCGAAGTTGTTCTCTCCTTTTTGTTTCGCTTTGAAAAAAAACGAGCGCTACCTGGCGGAGAGAAGTGGTACAAAGGCAGGTAATGCAATATATTGTTAAAGTAATTAAAAATTGAACAATTAAAATTTTTACGGAAATTTGCTTAATACGGCAAAACAGAAAGATGTTTAATGTTGTTGCGTCATAAAAACCTGGTAAAAAGGTTCCTATGGAGTACTTCTGTTTTTGCTTTATGTAAGATAATGAGTCAAATTCGAAAGAGAGTTGGTGTGAATGCCCTTGAATAAAAAGAATATTTTTTTTAAATATTGACCATATTTAAATATTTAACCGTTTTATATTGAGTTATATGTACATTTGTGTTTTTTTTTTTTTTTTTTTTTTTTGGTAGTTTTATCATTCCAATGCTAGTGTTACATATATATGATTACTGAACTAATTTCTTTCAGGTTTTAAAATTGTATGAGTAAAAATGCTTGTGTATAAATGCTGATCCGCGTGACTGTTTAAGAAAAAAATAAACAATTGTATATTTTTGCACTTAAAGATAAGATTGTGTCTGAGTTCAAGTTACACGATATTGAATTGTGTAAATGCCGTAGTTTTGCCAAAAAATTAACTATAGTTCATTTTATATTCATATTTTGTATATTATGTTCTAATGAAAGAAAAACCAGTATATTTATGTTGCTTAGGATATATATGACTTTCACATTTTGCAGTTTATGTTTATGAGAAAAAAAACATTCAATTTTAGTAATATAACCACGATTTACGGTCAAAATAGGAAGAAGTTGTTTTATTGTTCTTTATTTGTAGGCGTGATACTTCAGTCTTTAGGAATTTTTATTTACAGAAATGTTTTCTTGGTGTTCCAATCGCTGAAAATCGCTGTACAAAGAATATTTTCATTGCTGTCAATTTTTACCAGTGTTTCACTGAAACAATTTTCGTATTTACAATTCGTGTTGTAAAAAGTTTCAAAGGACGATTTTTTGTCTGTATTGCCGTGTATTGTTATGATACAGATTTTTATAATATGTTACTAAAACGTTCAAAGAATGTGTGATAGCTAGACTTGATTGCATACATTATTTTCATAATATTTTTGCATTGGATCCTGACAATCGGTTGCCAAGGCAACGGCCACGTGTGAAAGTTAAGGAAATGAAGATGAGCAAGTTTCATTAAGAAGTACAAAGTTTGCTATTGTTCTGAAAGAAAACATCTGTACATTTGTCTTATTTCATCCTCATCGTGTGACAGATAGAATTTTCTCGCGAATTATCATGCTGGTCTCACGTCTTAAATCACGTGTTAGCTGCACGCCACATGAATTCACGTGCTTCCTGTATACTAGTTTTTGAGCACGTGGACACTTCCATCTTGGGGATACATTTTTTTTAAGACCACGGCCATATTTACCGCTTTCTGCCTAGACAATGTGGAGGTCCAGGGAAATTAGCTTAAAATATTTTACTCGTGTGATTTGGCTTAAAATCAATTTAGCTCAGGATATTTATATTATTATCTCTGATGGGTGACATGAATCCATTGTCAAGGAACGTAGATAGCTAGAAACATATGCTTTGTTTTGTCAGGTTTTACACCTATTCCCTTATATAACAGCCCCAAGACATTCGAGTGTGCCTTTAGTAGCTAAGTTAGTAGATCACCACTAGCAATATTGTTTTATTTGTGTTTTAGTAAAGGAAAAATAATTGAATTCATTAACATTGTGTAGAAAAATAATTAAAGATATTGTTTATTTGACAGAGTTGTCTTTATTGGTCTTATGTATATTTGTCTATTCAGATTTGTTATATAACTTGTTCTCATTTGAGAACGTCACATTACTTACTTGGACTGACTACGGTTTTCATGACAGGTGTCGTCGATGAAGCAAAAGACGCTTACTCTTCCGGAACACTTAATCTTATTCTCCTTGTACTATTCTAGATATCCCCGTGTAAATATTTCATTTGTTAATATTTTACCCCAGTTTTATTGAATTTGAGTTTGGATTATGATTATGTCACGTGTTTGTATTTCCGTGTTAATGTTTTAAGTCCTGAACTCGTGCTTTTCCTGTGGGAGTCGATAGCCCACTTTATCTCTTTATACTGGATTTCGTCAAATGTTTGGAATAAGTGTTCTGCACTCAACTGGGAAAAATCGCACGATCATATATGATATAACTTTATAATTGTTTCCGGAAAAGTAAGTTGTATAATTTGTCTGCAATTCCTATTGAACTATTTTGAAATAGATCTACAATAATTACTGCGTCTATGGTCGGACGTTCAATGTCCGGTTTTGAGATCACGGATAACTGAGCGCTGTCGTGTGGGTGACCTTGGGTAAGGACACTTTATATCCTAATTTCTTTCGGGAAATGATCATGACAAGCCTCAAAATGACCCCGATCTTTATGTTGGTGGAATGTTTTACCACAAAGTACCAGAGGACCCTGGCTGTTCATGGGATGATAAAGCATGCGATATGTTTAAGCAGGGACGTATCTGTCATAACCATCCCTGGTTTTAGAGGTTTCTGGTTTTTTAAATGCAAAAAGTAACTAAGAATATTAAACAGACCCGCCAATCATTTAAATCGATGAAAAGCTAAACAGTCATAATGAAATTACAAATAAATTCGTGAATCGGTCCTTACATGGACCAGGGACGTATAATACATGGTGACACGTAACAAGTAACTGAACGTTTAGGTGAAAGTGTGAGACTGAATTAACGTAATGACAATCAATTACAGAGTTCAGTTAAAACTACCATATCTTTAGGAAACCGTCAATTAGCACAGAACGCACTACTTCGCAACAGATACCAGACGCGTCACGAGTGCCATGCTTGTCCTCCACGACGTGACTGTCTGATTGTACAAAAGACAAGTGAACAGCACCTTCTAATACAATAGAGCCAAACAATCATTTAAACGTCATGATACAGCTGTTTCGTCCTTCAATGACTCGTCAGTGAGTGTAGGAACTAGTTTGTGTAGTGAAATAAGCGACTGAGGAAAATACAATCCTGTACGAATGAATATTAGAGTTATCTCCCATGCGCTTTGGTTTGTTACGATGGACTTTTTTTCTTGGAATCCCAGAGGCAAGCCTTTGTACATGGTTACAGATAGATAAACAGATCTGTTTGACGGTGTTAAAAATGACAGAGAAAATGAAACAACATCGAATGATACAAATACTTGTTTTAAAATCTTGCAGGAGGGACATTTGTTTTTAAATAATAAAAATAATATTTTCTACGAATGTAATTAATCCTCGGTAGTATAGTGGTGAGTATCCCCGCCTGTCACGCGGGAGACCGGGGTTCAATTCCCCGCCGGGGAGGTTTTCTTTTTATTTTCTTTTTGTGTTTTAGTTTTCGAAGTATACGAAATGTTTTAGTATAAAAAACATATATTGACAAAAACTTTTCGAAAAACATTTCATCTTGGTTATTGGTTCAATTTTACCTGTATGTCTCTTAGACTTCGAACTCAATGAACTATATCAAACCCCTTACCATCCAAGATCTTTCGCAAAACTCACAAGATCGAGCATCGTTTAAAGCAGTATTTATTCCCTAACATTTCAAGATTCTTGAGATTGGATGAGAGCGGTCTAGGACAAAGTAGGTGTTCCTACCACACAGATTTATCGTCATCATTATTTTTTGTTGGACTGAGTTAGCATTTAACACAAACATTTTGGTGACTAGAACGATTACATAAGTGATCACCTCGAGCAGCAGTGGAAGTCAATACGGCCACACTAAAGTATACTTCGATGTTAAGATGCGAAATAGCCATAAAGCTGAGCCATCGATTCGACAACTATTTTAGTACCAGGTCAGACTGTGTGAATTACAGCTTTTCTTAATCATCATTTCCCTCCTTAGAGACATGTCACATTTTGACCCCTGACCTTTGCTATCCTATATATACATTCTAATAATAAATAATGATTAATTTTTCAATACAAATTATACACATCAGTTTAAAATCAATCATAATCGATGCGATTCGAATGATAAACATACGATTATTTTAATATTCTTCCAGTCTAATTTAATTTTCTTTCAAATGTGATATGAAAATAAATTCAGTATTTTTTAATTGCTCCCGTTAGAGGTTTCTCACCCGAATCTCTGATTTACTCGACAAACAGATCAAATTTCTTACCTAACCGAATGTCGTATCTATGTTAAAAAAACTATAGAAAGAAAAAAGAAAAAAATAAACCCATAGAAAACGACCAGAGAAGCAAACAAGAAAAAAAATATAAAAAAAATAAAAAAAGAAAAAAAAATAAGAAAAAAGTGAAAAAAAGTAAATAAATAAATAAACAAATACATACAGAAAAAAAAAATTATTTATCACCAATAACACGCACAAATCTTTAAGATTTTATTTATAAAAAAAATAACATTGTTTACGTCAGATCAGCGGCACTGCTTCTTAAGTCATCCTAATGACGTCACACATCTTTCAGTGATGACAAAGTTCCGTGTTCTGAAGTGCCAAAGTTTTGTCTTTGCAGTATGCTAAAGCAAAGTCGCATCTAAAACGAAAATTGACAACAAATACAAATCCGGTTTTTAATTATAATAAACGTAAAATGAAGGTATTGATGATAATGGTTAAAAACATGTTGTTTTTGTTATTGGTGCAAATGCTTTTCTGCAGCAAAATTCTGACCTCAGATATATTACAAAGTTCTTCTAAATATGTATATAACGTGTGTTGTTTATATGATCTAACAAAAAGGACAATGGCGGTATGTAATTCTAGATAACTTTTATCATGGAAACTTCTATGCGGTTGTCGTGGGTCTGCTTTTGTTCATTACACTTGACCCAAACAATTGGTTGCAAATGACGGGACTCTCGCATACTGTTCTGTGAGGTATCCACCAGCTACTACAAACATCACGCTTTAAAATGATGACGGCGCAAGTTTTGGTAAACAACTGTTCTAAGAAAAACTTCCAATAAGGAGGATTAAGTTCCCAATATGACGTCACTATCACTGAATTTTGTTCGAAGAAAGATGAGCTATGAATACCTACTACTTACTGTAAAATCATTTATTTTCGTGGTGATCAATTTTCGTGTTTATTATTATTACTTTTCAGGTTACTTGTTCCTTAACACTGTATTTGGTGGATAAATGTAACTCAGTGCCTCTTCTTATATCGGTTTTAATAGTTCGTGGACATACAAATTCGCGGATTAAGAGCGTCCATGAAATCAATGGAAATAAATCTCCCACGAAAACTGACGAGTTTTCAGTAGCTACCTTAATGAACTTACTTGTTGAAATACAGCTGACCATTGCTTGCGCATACTGGTGCCAGATCAGATGAACACGTGATATTGCCACTATATCTGCAGAAGATATCTGATATAGGGTCCAGTGTAGTGGTGACAATTGTCGGTCTGGTGGTGGTGTAGATCTCCACGGGGCGGTGAGGGTCATAACAACCACCAAGGGAGGCAATCGATATCGAGTTGTCAGCGCATTTGGCCTTGCTGTATTCACAGCTGGTACAGAGGAAACAAATAGATTTATGTCCTTGTTATAGTATCAGGAGTAGTAAAATATTCTTAATTCATCTATTTTATGTAATGAAGAAAAGGACAACCAGTGAAAATATCTTAAATAATGAATATAGATCTTTAATCTTTTAATGATAACAATCAAATACAGACAATTCCAAGAATACATTTTTATCAATATATGCATTACAATCCTACATATATGTAATTAAATTATTTAAATTAACATTTCACAAATATCACGTGATAAGAACGAAACACACAAACGGCGAATGCAGAGCTAATGCTACAAATATTGGTTGGAGACATAAGAAAACTGGCCATTTAATATAGATTGTTGTACACGTGTTTGATGTATTGAAATTACAATACTAAACAATATAAAATTTACGACTGACAATATTACTAGATCAGAATACACGTTGCCTTCATGTTCCCATAGTTTCAATTACAAATTAGGGAACACGATACATATACGTTTCCTTACTTTAATTGTTTTAAGACGCGTTACAGGACACATTATACCTACAAGTTTCCATAGTTGAACGATACATATATGCTTCCATACTAAAAAATAAGGGACAAGAGTCATACACGTTTTCATCCATACTGTACCTAAAATGTACCACGTGGGCCACATTCTACTTATATATTCCGATACGTACACATTAGAGAACACTCTAGCTACACGTTACCATATTTACAAATTAGGGAACACTATACTCACACGTTGCCATAGTTACAAATTAGGGGACACAACACCCACAGCCTTTAGCTAAACGTTTCCATAGTTGCAAACCAGGGAACACTTCAGTTTACACGTTTCCACAGTTATAAATCAGGGAACATTATGGGTTACACGTTTCCATAGTTACAATTCAGGGTCACTATGGGTTACACGTTTCCATAGTTATAATTCAGGAATCACTATGGGTTACACGTTCCCATATTTACAATTCAAGGAACACTACAGGTTACACGTTTCCTAAGTTATAAATCAGAGAACACTTTAAGCTTATAAATCAGGGAACGCTTTAGGCTACATGTTTTCATAGTCACAAATCAGAGAACACGGTCTCATCATGTTTCCATACTTACAAATTTTGATAGAGTACGTTCCTGTTATCGCACACCTCCTCGTCCGTGTCTCCTAACACGTAAGACGAGCAGTCCAGGTGAGCTATGTCGTCACAAAGGTGAATACTGTCGCCAAGAACAAGAGTCACAATGACAGCTGAAGTGAAAATCACAAAGCTGGATCATATTTGTGTATGATTGTATTGTATGAAAGGATATCAACAAGCTGCATCTTGGTCTTATAACATTATGTATTTTGTTACATCATATACACATGTAACAAGAGTTGTCGTTCCTTAACAGTCACAGTACACTTCTGACAACGACTCACGGACTACCAATAGTTGACCTCGCGGTCAGGGTCAAAGTTAAACGTCGAGCAAAACTATGGCGATATTCCTACCATCGATCAGCGTAAAAATAACATTTGCACTTTCGGAGAGGTTATATAAACTAATGTCGTTATTTTCCAGATGAACACAAATCTATTTTGAAAGTAATAAGTATCAAAACATAAAAAAATTAAACACTTTATAATGTTTTTCGAAAATCCTAAAATGGCGTGAGCATAACCGTCTCCTTATGTTTAATGTAATGTCATCATTTTATCAGCTCGACAAAAAAAAAATAAAAACAAAACAAAGCAAACAAAAAACCCGTCAATACTCTATCATATCACACGACGCGATCAGTTTACACCCAATAAACAACATCGTGTGCTTTGTTCTATGGTTTACATCATATTCACATGTTAATTTCTGATAAAGAATACATGTCTAGAGATTGGTTACAAGGTGTGAACTGATTGGACAAGAACTATCATGTGATCCAGTGATAAGGCCATGGTACGCAATAAAGAACATTAAACGATGGCTTCCTCCACGCCATCATCAATAAACCTTATTTTCTCTCATTTCATTTCGAGTGTTGACTTTCTAATTTTCTTGTAAATAATGACAGTTACAAAAAGATAAAGTTGTTTCCCAGCATACTGGCGATCGTTATTCTACTAACATTGCAGCAATTGTGAACTCTAGTTTAAGTACGAACAGACAAGACTTACAATCTGAAACCGAATTAAGCCTGAAGCCTTTTAAGAACTACGAATAGTTAAAGGAATGATCCTTTCAATAACAAAACAACTTACATGCTAAAATCGTAGAAGTGAAACCCATTGTGTTGTTGATCCAACCGTATAAATACATGTATATCTAATGTTGTGACGTTGTCCCCGAATCCTTATCATGCCACGATTAAATGACAACTTATCTCCCTATTAGGACAGGTAAGCACAACTGGTTGTTGGTGCTCATTTCTCCAGTCGCGATCAGAATTGTTAACCTGCCTGTTGAAAGGCCGTAAAAATACGTTCAATAAATTCAATAAATAAAATAGTTAGGTAAATGTATAAATAAATCAATTGAATAAAATAGATAAATATATATACAAATAGATAAATAAATAAACATATATATATATATTTTCGTTGCGATCACATACATCACGCAAGCGTATTCTGGCCACGTTGTGTTTTATCTTATCTCGAAATTTCGAGTTAAAATAAAACACAACGTGGCCGGAATACACTTCCGTACATATACGCTCAGTGTCTAGAGTGCAAATATACCGATATTGGTATAAAACAGTTTTTATATTTTAATGACCATCTTCCGTACAACAACTTTGGATGTTTTTTTGTCCGTTATAAAGGCCTGTAGTCGTCCAAGGGATTATCGAAACACCTAAATTTACACCACCGCTCTCGATTTAGATTTAGAATTTTGTATTTGTGTTCAGCGACATATTTCCTTTATTAATGACTAATCATGTGAAACTATAACACAATACAGTGAAATACATCAGCTCGAGTATGATTGACAAAAAAATGCGCTGTTTTCCATATTGAGATGTACAAAACGCAGAAAACATTATTTACTTAGTAAATAGGCATAACGATTAACTGATTAAATCACAAAACTTACAGTGGGCTTACTCCCATTTCGCCTTAGCTGTCAATTTCATGGTAATAAATTTTTCCCATTTCGCCTTTGTGCCAAAACCAGATTGGAAGAAGTAAGCTAAGGCGAAATGGAACCTTGTATATACAAATTAAGGAAGTCAAGTAATTAATTTAATAGTATTCTTCGTGCAATGTCACCAAAACAAACATATTATATATTATAGATATATAATATATATTGATACAGATATATACATTTCATGCAACAAAATCTTATAGTTAAGCACTATCAATCTTATATCAATCATTTAAATCAATCACTACTGTTCAAAATGTTCAATATGATATAATAAATAGTCCTAACATGATTCAAATTCATTACTATAAATGTTACAACACTGTATAACTAGTCACTGAGTTTCAGAATGTAGGATGCTACGTCTCCATACTGGATGAAGTCTTTGGTCCCATTCATTAGATCAGCCTTTAGGTTTGATAGACGTTCTTCTACTTCTCTGTACTTCTTTGCTTTCTTTCGTCTCTGTCCGCAAGCTGCATATTGGATTATCTTCACCTCGGTAGCTGCTTGCAGTCGCTGGAACTCCTCGATGATCTTGTAGATGTTGGGATGTGCTGTCTTTACTCTCTTCTTTAGTTTATTGTGCCATCCTTCTAAGTGGTTATTGGTTCTGGGTCCTTCGGTTAGAAAGTGGTTCCATGTTGGTTGTGGATATCGCTCTTCAATCCGTGTCTCTGTGACGTAATCTGTTAGTTTCAGGCAATCTACTCTCTGTGGGGCATCTTCTGGGGCATGTAGCCAGTAATCTTTAACTTGGTGTAGTGAAAGAATTGGCAAAGCTACTGCACGGCGGACAAGTTTCTGGACTTCGGGAAGGTTCTTGCAGTCAATCTCAAGTCCATATTCTTGCGTTTTTTCCAGATGGCTTTTGTGTAGTGGGATAGGTATCATTTGAGTTCTGCTGCTGGAAATGTCTGAGTGACGGCATTACGGGAAGTACATTCGAAATCAAGGATAACTTCGTGTGCTTGGTGAGAAGTTCAGGTTTTGTCGAACGGCAATATCTTTCAGAAATGTGAATAATCTGTTGTAGGTGTTAGTATCTCTCTTCGGCAGTAATGAATACACAAGCGGAAACATAACAGTACCAACAAAAGCATTTGTGGGGCTGTATAAGAGGTTCAATCGCAGTAGACGATCTAAGCAGAGCATAGATGTACTAGGTTCTCGTCAGTAGTGAATATCATTATTTTGTCTACATGTAGCATAACTCCTGCCATGTTGATTGTGAAACTTTAGCATACTGTCAAAGGTCTTTTATATATAGCATGTAAGCTGAGATGAGTTATTCCAAGCTGTTTAGTCTGTAAAAATCTACTATGAATATTTTTGTATACATATATCCCCAAGAAAAACTATCCAAAACTATAACTAAAAATATAAGCGCTTATAAACATACATTTCATAGAAAAACTAGGCTTTTAAAATAAGATTTGTTTCTTCTTTGAATTAGAAAAGAAATAAGAAATAGATTCAATATTCATTTAAATATAATTAATTGATTTAGTGTTAAAATGTACAAGTTCCAATACAACATGTAGTTATTTTTATTTCTTCAAATATATTTTATATATATCTTAAATCTATGTGGCCTTTGGTCAATTATAATTAAGATTTAACTGTAGAATGAGTTATTGTAAAAATAACAACTGCTGCATGTAATTGGTTTGTTTATCTTTCCACACTTTTCCTTAATTCCCACTTTGCCTTAGCCCCATTCCCATTTCGCCTTAGCACATTTCCACCTGTTTTATACCAAAATATGCAACTAAGGCGAAATGGGAACACACCTTTACAGTGTATGGGGCCACAAAAGGAAAATATGCATTCGATGCATCAAAAATGTGTTATTGAGGCTCAATATGTTTGATGTTAAGATTGAATTGGAAACTACACTTCACAGCCGTTTAGTAGAACATCATCCGTGTATAGTGTGCTCATATGAAGGGTGATAACAAAGACGTTGTTACAGAGTTCAGTATACATTTCACACTGAAAAAACCTTGGGATGCATTTACACCACCATAGCCACAGGAACGAGAAGGAGGGTCACAAAAACGGTCTTATGTATACCATTAATTTATTTCTCAACAGTATATCAAACTATCTTCTCTATTTCCTGTTGTTTACAACCTCCCCTCATTCCTTAAGGCTTAAATGTACAACTTAATGCAGTTTAAGATATCATGCAATCTATCCTTTTAAATGATGATTATGATGATGGTGGTGGTGGTGGTGATGATGATGATGATGATGATGATGATGATGATGATGATGATGATGATGATGTAGTGAGATGACTGATGTCATCATATTGATATCTATATGATAATGATGACATATTGATGTTATAATAAAAATGATATGATCAAATATTACCTGAATAAAACAAAACTACCATCTTAATAATTCGATTTATTTTAATATATTCTGATATTTCGACACTCACAATACCGGTTCATACTTTGAGGACATGACATTACAAGCTTTCAAAATCTGCCATAAATCGTCATTGATGGGTGTTGTCGTGATTAAATTATTCTTTAACACGGAAGTTTGTGACCGTTACTTCAACGAATAGGTTCTACTCCATCGTTCAAGACAGCTAAACAAATGTTTAATTCCCATTCAAAATTTATACAAAGATTAATAACATAAAAAGAACTACAGACCTCAACAAACAGCAGATATATTCAAGATTCCGGGAATCCTTGTCAAACATCAACGGAAATAATAAAGTAGAAATCCCAATGGGTAAAAAAGGAAATAAAAATGATATACTCAAATATTACCAATGATTATAACCTAAGTCAATAAACCATCAGGTGCTGAACTTGGCAAAGCTTTAAATGTTTTTATATGTTCCTACTGTTTCTTGTGTCAAAATAATAGAATAATCAATATTCAGTAGCTTTTAATACAAAAATCAAGAATTGAATAGATATTTTCCTCTGGCTAAAATCCTCACAAAAACATATTTACATGTAGATTATCAACAAAATGACATATGTCAAAGTCGAAATAGTAATCACGAAATACGTATATACATGGGTGTGAGGTTCTGTGTGTGTGTGTGGTAGTGTGTGTGTGTGTGTGTATGTGTGGGTGTGAAGGGGTGTGTGTGTGTGGTAGTGTGTGTGTGTGTATGTGTGGGTGTGAAGGGGTGTGTGTGAATGCGTGTGTGAGAGTGGGTTGGTGGGGTGTGAGGGTGTGTGTGTAGTAGTGTGTGTGTATGTGTGGGTGTGAAGGGGTGTGTGTGAATGTGCGTGTGTGCGAGGGTGGGTTGGTGTGTGTGTGTGTGTGTGGGTGGGTGAAGGGGTGTGTGTGAATGTGCGTGTGTGAAGGTGGGTTGGTGGGGGTGTGAGGGTGAGGGTGTGTGTGTGTATGTGTGGGTGTGAAGGGGTGTGTGTGAATGCGTGTGTGAGAGTGGGTTGGTGGGGTGTGAGGGTGTGTGTGTAGTAGTGTGTGTATGTGTGGGTGTGAAGGGGTGTGTGTGAATGTGCGTGTGTGCGAGGGTGGGTTGGTGTGTGTGTGTGTGTGTGGGTGGGTGAAGGGGTGTGTGTGAATGTGCGTGTGTGAGGGTGGGTTGGTGGGGCTGTGAGGGTGAGGGTGTGTGTGTGTGTGTGTGTGTGTGTGGTAGTGTGTGTGTATCTGTGGGTGTGAGGTTCTGTGTGTGAATGTGCGTGTGTGTGAGGGTGGGTTGGTGGGGGTGTGAGGGTGAGGGTGTGTGTGTGTGGTAGTGTGTGTGTGTATGTGTGGGTGTGAAGGGGTGTGTGTGAATGTGCGTGTGTGAGGGTGGGTTAGTGGGGGAGAGAGGGTGAGGGTGTGTGTGTGGTAATGTGTGTGTGTGTGTGTATGTGTGGGTGTGCAGGGGTGTGTGAATGTGCGTGTTTTAGGGTGGGTTAGGGTGTGTGTGTGGGGGGGATGGGTGGGGGTGTGAAGGTGTGTGTGTGTGTGTGTGTGTGTGTGTGTGTGTGTGTGTGTGTGTGTGTGTGTGTGTGTGTGTGTGTGTGTGTGTGTGTGTGTGTGCATATGTGTGTGGGGCGTGGGTTACAGGGTTTGGTATTATGGAAATATTCGATTTTTTCCGATGTGCACAAATACAAAAAAACAGAATGTTCTCAGTATTAGGAGAA